TTTTCTTTTCTTTTCTTTTTTTTTTTTTTGAGATGGAATCTCTCTCTGTCACTCAGGCTGGAGTGCAGTGGTGCAGTCTTGGTCCACTGCAATCTCCGCCTCTCCAGTTCAAGTGATTCTCCCTGCCTCAGCCCCCCCAAGTAGCTGGAATTGCAGATGGCCACCACCACACCTAACTAATTTTTGTATTTTTAGTAGAGATGGGGTTTTGCCATGTTGGCCGGGCTGGTCTCGAACTCCTAACCTCAGGTGATCCACCTGCCTTGGCCTCCCAAAGTGCTGGGATGACAGGCATGAACCACCTCACCCGGCCGAGGTAATATTTCTGAAAGGTGGAGTACCATGCTGTGAGCTAGAGGCTTGGTGTGGTTTATCCTGTCATCTCCTCAGTGACCTCACCAGGTGGACACTGTTAGGATTCCTAATTTGCAGAGGGAGAATTTCAGGCTGACAGAAAGGTCAGCACCGTACTCAAAGTGATCCAGCTGCTACCAAGATGAACTGTAGCCTTTGCTCTGAGCTCACAGCCTGACCTCAGTCTAGAGCTGGGAACCTTTCTCTCCCTCATTGCTACACCTGATCAATTACTGAGTCCCATCCCTTTAATTCCTTCCATGACCTTCAAATCCATCTTCCCTATCTAAGCTGCCCATTCATTGACTTGTGCCTTCTGTCCATCTGTTAAGAGCCAGGTGCTGTGCTGGGCTCTGAGAATGTGGCCGAGAACAATATGGATAAAAGTTCTGAGCCGGGTATGGTGACTCATGTCTGTAAACCCAGTGCTTTGGGAGGTTGAGGCAGAAGACTTCCTTGAAGCCAGGAGTTTGAGGCTGGCCTGGACAACATAGCAAGACCCCGTCTTTACAAAAACAAAAACAAAAACAAAAAAAAAGGAAAAAGAAAAATTAGCTGAGCATGGTGGCACTGACTTGTAGTCCCAGCTACTTAGGAGGCTGAGGTGGGAGCATCACTTGACTCCAGGAGTTTGAGGCTGCAGTGAGCCATGATTGTGCCACTGCACTCCAGCCTGGGCAATAGAGCAAGACCCTGTCTCAAAAAAAAAAAAAAAAAGACTGTAAATGTATCCTCCAGAGTAATTCTTCTTTTTCATTTTTCAAAAGCATCCTTGCTTTGTTTATGCTTCCAAAAGTTTAAAAACTGTAGCTAAGTTCCAAGAAAGTAAAAGGGAAGCAAAGGAAAAGGAAAATACAGACCCAGAGGCCCTTTATGGGTTTGATTGTATGTGAAGTCCATAAATTGATGGCGAGAAGGAGCATCTTGATAGTATTTACTTGTACTCTCCTATGTCATGGATTTCCTCTCCATTTTCCCGAGGGTTCGTTCCTATTCTTAGAAATGTTTTGTGATTTTCCTTCAGACACAGTTTGTCTACTTCTTATAAGCATTGTTCTTAGATTGCTGGCTTTGTATCTATCACTCCCTCTCTCATCTGCCTATCTATCTATCTTATCTATCTATCTATCTATCTATCTATCTATCTATCTATCCATCCATCCCTCCATCCCTCCATCCACTTGCTCATCTGCCTATCCATCCATCCATCCATCCATCCATCCCTCCATCCACTTGCTCATCACGCCCATCCATCATCTATCATCCATCACACCATCCAGTCCATCACACCCACCCACCCATTATCCATCCATCTATCCATCCATCCATCCATCCATCCATCCATCCAGTCCATCCACCCACCCACCCATTATCCATCCATCTATCCATCCATCCATCCATCCATCCATCCATCCATCCATCCATCCATCCATCCATCCATCCATCCATCCACTCACCCATTCATTCATCCACTCACCCATCCATCCATCCACCCACCCAGACATCCATCCATCCATCCATCCCTCCATCCATTCATCCACTCGCCTATCCATCCATCCATCCATCCATCCATCCATCCATCCATCCATCCATCCATCCACTCACCCATTCATCCATCCACTCACCCATCCATCCATCCACTCACCCATTCATCCACTCACCCATCCATCCATCCACTCACCCATTCATTCATCCACTCACCCATCCATCCATCCACTCACCCATTCATCCATCCACTCATCCATCCATCCATCCACTCATCCATCCATCCATCCATCCACTCATCCAGTCACCCATCCATCCATACATCCACTCATCCATTCATCCATACATCCACTCATCCAGACATCCATCCATCCATCCATCCATCCATCCTTTTATCTACTTTCCCAATAATCCACATACCTGTCCCTCCATCTCTTCCAACCACTCACCCACCAATCTTCTTATCCATCTATTCACTCATCCATACATCCACTTATTCATTCATCCCTCCACCCACCCATTCATCCACCCATCCATGTATCCATTCATCTCTCCATCTATCCATGTGTCTGTCATCTAATATAAGGGAGATGTTTTGAAGTATTAAAAGTGATTATTTTGTAGAACAGGGGACAGGGATCATGTTTTCTTTACTCACTGCTACCTTATTAAATGCTTACTAGTTCTAAAAGCCTTGCAATTGATTCCCTTCAATTTTCCAACTCTATAATTGCAGCATCTGCAGATAATGATGACTTGTTGCCTTTTGCCAATAATTAGACCAGTTATTGCTGTTAACCTTGTTATGGCAGGAACTTCCAGAACAGTGTTCGGTGACGCAGCTGAATATGGTCAGCCCAGTCTCATTTCTGATTTGAGTGGAATGCCTCAATTGTTTTACTGCAGAGGATAATTATATAATCGTTCATCCTCTTGACCTTCCTGTCTTTAGCCTCACTGAGTAAATGGGGTGTGATCGTGAAATCTTGATTGTCTCGTAGATGGGAGAGACATAAACGACATTTGTCTGTGTATAATGACAGCAGATTTATTTTGCTAAGCTGTTAAGCTGTTAAAATAAGCCTTTAAGCCCCCGCCTCAATTTGCAAGCAGAATGGAATGTTGTTTTGTTGCTTCTGGCCAAATGTCGCTATTCGTTTTAGAGCAGCTCTTGATGGACAGTCTGGTGGACTGCAGGTCTGGATACTTACCGGACCCTGTGTCATCACTAAAGTTAGGATGCATTTCAGAACCACCCGGTACCACAGTGAACAGAGACAAATGGCCTTAGTGAGCAGGACCCATGGGGCCCTCTGGGGCTGTTTCTTGTGCCCCGAGAGAGGCCCTAGATTTGGGACAGTCTGATTTATGCCTCCCCCACTTTTTTTTCTGGGTGATGCTGCCCTGGTTTCTGTGTTGAAATATGACCTTAGTGTGAAGGTTCCGGTCTCAGACCATCCTGTTTCTGGTATGTTAAGAAACAGAAAAACACCTTCTAGAACACAGTGTTAACCATCGAGGATACATATCAGTGTTCTGGAAAAACAAAAACAAAAGCAAAGCAATTTATACCGCGACTGTGGTTTTCATCAGGGTGGGCTGCCCTTCCAGTCCATAACCCTGTGTGGCCTGATGAAGAACTCGTTTTGTAACTTGCAAGGGCATCTACAATAGCTGCTGGTCCTCTTGGTGAAAGGGGAGGGCCCACATTAGGTCTAAGCTGCCTGGAGTCGATGCAAAACTCTCACAGGCTTTGGAAAAAGCACGTGATCTTTTGAAGAGCATGCAAATGTTGACCGGGCACAGTGGCTCACGCCTGTAATTGCAGCGTTTGGGGAGACGGAGGCAAGTGGATCGCTTGAGTCCAGGAGTTCGAGACCAGCCTGGGCAACTTGGTGAAACCCCATCTCTACAAAACAATGCAAAAATTAGCTGGGTGTGGTAGTGCATGCCTGTAGTCCCAGCTACTTGAGAGGCTGAGGTGAGAGGATTGCTTGAGCTCAGGAGGTCGAGGCTGCAGTGAGCTGTGATTGTGCCACTGCACTCCAGCCTAGGCAACAGAGCCAGACTGTTTAAAAAAAAAAAAAAAAAATGCAATGTTTGCTTGATTATTCAGCTGGTATTTAACACACAGTTCTTTGTTCCAGAGGGACTGTCCAGCAACAAATAGTGAATTCATTAATTTTTTGCACCTATTGAAAATAACTGGAAAAGGTATATGCTGGAAAACTCAGTGTTCTAGGAACTTTCATGTTTGCTACCCCAAGAGCAAACATCATGAAATGCCTGATGCTTAGTGTTAAGAGGAAGGAATTCCACACAGCCTGTGGCTAGCTTTTCTTATTTCATTGGTGTCCAAGACAAGATTTGAACTGTTTACTAAAGGAAATTAGCATAATAAGTCTCCTCTGGCATATATTTCCAGCATCCAAGTGGAGCTGCTGAGATCTTGCTCAAGAGTAGCAAAATTGGCAGGAGGAGGACGGCATTGGTTTTTACATCAGCTTTAACAACTTATCAGCCATTTTTGCAATTTGGAAACCTGTTTGGGGTATGGGTGTACTGAGATGAAACCGGGCTGTTTCTAGGACTCACCTCCTCCTTCAGGCTTTTTTTTTTTTTAAACAGGGTCTGGCTCTGTTGCCCAGGCTGGCGTGATCATGGCTTACTGTAGCCTTGACCTCTTGGGCTCAAGCAGTCCTCCCACTTCAGCTTCCCGAGTAGCTGGGACCACAGGTGCACACCATCGTGCTTGGCTAATTTTTATATTTTTTTGTAGAGATGGGGTCTCACTATGTTGCCAGGGATGGTCTTGACCTATCAGGCTCAAGCAACTCTCCTGCCTCTGCCTCCCAAAGTGCTGGGATTATAGGCAGGAGCCACTGCAGTTGGTCCTCAGACATTTTTTTTTTTTTTTTTTTCCTTGAGACGGAGTCTCGCTCTGTTGCCAGGCTGGAGTGCAGTGGTGTGATCGCGGCTCACTGCAACCTCCTCCTCCTGGGTTCAAGCAGTTCTCCTGCCTCAGGCTCTTGAGTAGCTGGGACTACAGGCACACACCACCATGCCCGGCTAATCTTTTTGTATTTTTAGTAGAGATGGGGTTTCACCATGTTGGCCAGGATGGTCTCTATGTCTTGACCTCGTGATCCTCCCGCCTTGGCCTCCCAAAGTGCTGGGATTACAGGCGTGAGGCACCACGCCTGGCCGATCCTCAGACATTTTTTAATTTTCCTTTTTTAGTGTTACAGTCAGCCATTTGCAAAATGAGACTTCCCCCTAACTTTGCGTCAAACTCAGAGACGTTGTCATCTTGGCTTTGATGTGGTGGAGAAGAGGGGCTTCCCGTTCTGGGACGAGGTGTCTCCACCTGGGTCCGGTGGACACTGGGGCTGGATTGTTCTCTGGGGTGGGGCCATCCTGGGCACTGCAGGGTGCTAAGCAGCATCCCTGGCTTCCACCCACTCCATGCCAGGAGCGCCGCCCCCGAGGCATGGCAAACACAAATGTCTCCAGACACTGCTGGTGTCTCCTGGTGAGCAGAATTTCCTCCATTTGAGGACCCCTGGACCAGGGTGCTGGAATGGGGGTGAGGGGTACTCTGCAGTTATTCTCTGCTCTTTTTTTGAGGGGATGGGGAATGGAAAGCAAGAGCCTATCATCCACCAAATGGCTCTGTGGCTTGACACTGCAGTGCTACCAACAAAAACCATGTCCCTAGTCTTGGGGGACCAAGGAACCTGGGGGAATATGACTATAGTCATGTAATGAGGGCGGGTTTATGTATTACGCAAGTGCTGGGCTGGGGAGTCAGGACATACCCGCAGGGAAGAAGACAGACAGGTCCTTCTCTCCTGGAAGCCCCTCGTGAAACACCTAATTGGTGACATGGTACACTGGAGGATCAGAGGGTGTCACTCAAGCATTTTGGCTTGGTGGCGGTGGGGGCGGGGGCGCGCCAGGCACTCAAGCACCCCTAAGCTGATCTGGAGAAAGTGTCGGGGAAGGGGAACATCAGCATTTCTCCCTGAGGAATCATCTTACGCCCATGATGGCAACTGGCCCACAGTAACACTGATGGAGCGAGCATCTTCTTATGGCTCGGTAACCCAATAGCTGTGTGGCCATGGGCAGGTTACTGAACCTCTCTGTGCCTCAGTCTTCTCTTCTGTAAAATGGTAACATCTAGGATTGTTGGGGGAAATAAATGGTTAATAATTGGACTAGTGCTGGGTGCATAGGAAGCTGTAAGTGTTATAGCATGTGGCCACAGCCCCCCCTCTCCCCTCCTCTCTCCTGTCTCCGCTTTGCTGCTGCCCTGCTGCCTTGATGGGATACTCCCCGTCTGTCTCTGTTTGTCTGTCTATCTGCCTGTCTCATCCCCTTTTCTTTCCTCTGTTCCCCCACCCCCACCACTGATGCAGTTTGGACCAAGTTTTCTTCAGCCAGTTAATTTAGAGACAAGGAGAACCTAGATATTTAATGGGGGCTTGGGGGACTTCCTTACAGCCGCAGGTCTCTGTGAAAAGGGCCCTGGATGATCTCTGCAGAAGCCCACCTGCTGTTGGTTAGCCAGGACCATCTCCACTTTCAGACACCAGCTTCATCCAAACACTCTTTGCTGTATTTATAACCACAGTGCATTTCCTCGGGACGCACATCTTACGGCTTCTTGGCGCCTTCGCCCAGGGTGCACTGCCTGGACCATCGCCCGCCGGCAGAGACACTGTCTTTCTTTGTGTGTTCTCCTTCCTCTGGTCGAGATGTGGCTTGGTCATCTGGAGCGGGGCCGTCAGAAGTCGCCTCGGCTTCGTGGAGGCTCGCTGTCCCCATGGCGGAAAGCTCGGCCACACACCCTGATGTCTCGACACCTTTGAGCTGCCCGTGAATGGGTTTTCAGAGCTTCCCGTGTTTACTTCGCTGCACGCCTCTGTTTGTGCTCTGGAGAAATTCTTGGCAGAGGAGAAGCCAAGTGGAAAAACAGCCCTGCTTGGTGTCAGGGCTTGAGGTTGAGGGAGAAAGACTGAAATGGAGATTTGCATGAACTGGTTTGTGCATGTAACAAGAGTTTGTCTTAAAAAAAAAAAACAAAAAAACTGGCCTGGTGCGGTGGCTCACTCCTGTAATCCCAGCGCTTTGGGAGGCTGAGGCCGGCATATCACGAGGTCAAGAGATCGAGACCATCCTGGCCAACATGGTGAAACCCCGTCTCTACTAAAAATACAAAAATTAGCTGGGTGTGGTGGTGTATGCCTGTAGTCCCAGCTACTCGGGAGGCTGAGGTGGGAGAATGGCTTGAACCCAGGAGGCAGAGGTTGCAGTGAGCCGAGATCACGCCACTGCACTCCAGCCTGGGTGGCAGAGCAAGACTCCGCCCATCTCAAAAAAAAAAAAAAATTGTGTTCCAGTCTGTTCTGGTGGCTTAGAGGAGGGAAGATGGGAAATTTTGGGTTTAATAAGTAGCATCCATCAGGTTAAGGGCTTTGAAGCACCTGGGAACATCCACAAGTTACTATTTATTGAGCACCAGCTGTATACAGTTATTGAGCATGCATTGTCTCCCAGGCACATAGTCCTCATAACAATCTTTTTACAGAGCTAGGATTTGAACCCACAGTCTCTCTGGCTTCAGAACCCTAGTTTTTCCTGCTATACTCTGCCTTACAGAGGAAGGGAATTTTTGTACTGGGTTTTGAAGGGTGAATAGGAGTTCAATGAAGAAGACGCACAGTCTGTGCTAACCTTGCCTTCCTGATCCTCTTAGAGTTGGCCAGAAGCTATTATCTGGAGGCCAAAATTGGGTCACTAGGGTGACCAGCTCATCACAGGGCCCTGGATTTTCTCTGCAAAAGCCCATCTGCTATTGGTTAGCCAGGACCATCACACTGTGCCCAGGTCACCCTACATTTCACCCAAAAGCAGAATTTTACACCAGAGCCTGGACACTGATTGAATTTTCTTTAACTCATTTCTGTCAATGGTTCTCTCCAAAAATACTCCCTTGTGTCTTTATGCTGGGCTTCTTTCTCTAGATACTTCCATTTCTTGGTTTGGGTGAAAATCAAATGAGGTAATTAATGCTTGTGATATATAAAGTGTGTAGCACATGGTAACCTCTTTAGTTTTAGCCTGTTGTTTTTGTTTGTTTTGTTTGTTTTGAGTCTTGCTGTGTCACCCAGGCTGGAGTGCAGTGGCGCAATCTCAGCTCACTGCAACCTCCGTTTCCCAGGTTCAAGCAATTCTCCTGCCTCAGCCTCCCGAGTAGCTGAGATTATAAGTGCACACTACCACACTGGACTAATTTTTGTATTTTTAGTAGAGATGGTGTTTTGCCATGCTGGCCAGGCTGGTCTCAAACTCCTGACCTCAGGTGATACTCCCTCCTTGGTCTCCCAAAGTGCTGGGATTACAGGCGTGAGCCACAGTGCCTGGCCAGTTTTAGCCAGTTTTTCATTGACCTCCCTCTTTGCCTTTTTTTTTTTTTTGAGACAGAGTCTCACTCTGTCGCCCAGACTGAAGTGCAGTGGTGCGATCTCGGCTCACTGCAAGCTCTGCCTCCTGCATTCACGCCATTCTCCTGCCTCAGCCTCCCAAGTAGCTGGGACTACAGGTGCCCGCCACCACGCCTGGCTAATTTTTTGTATTTTTAGTAGAGACGGGTTTTCACCGTGTTAGCCAGGATGATCTCAATCTCTTGACCCTGTGATCTGCCCGTCTCGGCCTCCCAAAGTGCTGGGATTACAGGCATGAACCGCTGCACCCAGCCCCTCTTTGCCTTTTTTGCAAGGGAGCTGGCCTCCCTGTCCCTGGAGTCAGCAGGCTTCCTTATACCTACAGCTTCCTCTAAGGAAGTGTAGCTACCTCCAGCCTGGCCCTCCCCAAGGACTCAGCTGTTTCCTTCACCAAGAGTAAGGAGTGGACCTAATCACTGCCAAATAGGGAAGCCAGGCTGGATGCCGTGGCTCATGCCTGTAATCCCAGCACTTTGGGAGGCTGAGGCAGGAGGATCACTTGAGGCCAGGAATTGAAGACCAACTTGGGCAATGTAGCAAGACCCTGTCTCTAAACAAATAAAAAAACTGGCCGGGTGCGGTGAGTGTGAGGCCAGGCGTGAGCCACTGCACCCGGCCTTCTTCTTCTTCTTTTTTTTTTTTTTTGAGATAGGGTCTCACTCTATTGCCCAGGCTGGAGGGCAGTGGCACAATCTCAGCTCACTGCAACCTCTGCCTCCTGGGTTCAAGAGATTCTCCCACTTCAGCCTCCCGAGTAGCTGGGATTACAGGTGTGCAACACCACGGCTGGTTAATTTTTGTGTTTTTAGTAGAAACGGGGTCTCGCCATGTTGGCCAGGTTAGTCTCAAACTCCTCACTTCAAGTGATCCGCCCGCCTCAGCCTCCCAAAGTGCTGGGATTACAGGCATGAGCCACCGTGCCCGGCCTGGTGAGGACCTTCTTGCTGCTGGGGGCTCTCTGCAGAGTCCTGACAGGGAGCAGGGCATCACATGGCGAAGGGGCTGAGAGTGTCAGCTCAGGTCGCTCTTCCTCTTCTTATAAAACCACCAGTTCCACTCCTATGATAAACCGTTAATCCATGAATGGATTAATCCACTTATGAGGACAGAGCCCTCATAATCACTTCTTAAAGGCCCCGCCTCTCAGTGCTGCCACATGGGGAATTACACTTCAACATGTGTTTTGGAGGGGACAAATACTCAAATCATACTATTATGTTACCAGTAACATTTAAAATACAGTAATAATAATGGCCGATGTGTGGCGGGCTTACCAAATACTGGACCCTGTGCTAAGTGTGTTTGATATCTATTATTTTATTTAATTTTCTTGGTCACTGCATAACATATGCTCTGTGAGTCCCAGTTTTTCGAATCGGCATAACAAGACCGAACCTACCTAGAGTTGGCACAAGTTGTAAAAATAGGATTCGCGGCCGGACACGGTGGCTCACACTTGTAATCCCAGCACTTTGGGAGACCATGGCAGAAGGATCACCTGAGGTCAGGAGTTCGAGACCAGCCTGGCCAACATGGCGAAACCCCGTCTCTACTTAAAATACAAAAATTAGCCAGGCGTGGGGGCGCACCTGTAGCCCCAGCTACTCGGGAAACTGAGGCAGGAGAATCGCTTGAACCCGGGAGGTGGAGGTTGCAGTGAGCCAAGATCGTGCCACTGCACTCCAGCCTGGGCGACAGAGAGAGGCTGAAAAATAAAATAAAAAAATAGGATTCACTTTTGCCAGCAACTTGAAAAGGAGGCAAACACAAGAGTACTCATCTCTGGAGAGGAAACATTCAGATGTGCCTACTCAGCATTCCTGGAGATAGAACCAGATTTTGCATGGGTTAGAATCATATTTTGCCTGGGAAGCCACTCAGACCTCACTGTGCGGACCAGAGCCAGCTTCCTTTATTCCTTCAGACTCTTATGATTGGCTCAGGGGAAGGCACAGGACTCAGACTGGGCCAATCAGCTTTCTTAATTCCTCTAGCCTCCATGATTGGTTCAGGGGTGGGCATGTGACCCCAGAGGGTTCCATAAGATTCAGTTCTGGTACGTTGGTGGGAGTGACTGAAAGAGAGATTTTTCCTTGCTAGATCTTCCTTGCTGTGAAGCTATAATCCCGGTGCCACCATGTAAAGACCACCTGTCTCAGACTTCTGACACCATAGAAGGAAGCAGGACTGAGACAAGGAAAGGGAGAGAGATGGGGTGCCCATGACATCCTTTGACACCTGGATCTAGCTATACCTGAAAGCATGCTTGTCCTATGACTTGTGAGTTAAATGAGCCAGCAATCATTCTTTTCTCTTTTTTTTTGTTTTCTTTCTTTTCCTTCCTCCCTCCTTTTTCTTTCTTTTTCTTTCTTTCCTTCCTTCCTTCCTTCTTTCCTTCCTTCCTTCCTTCCTTTCTTTCTTTCTTTCTTTTTTTCTTTCTTTCTTTTCTTTCTGTTTTCTTTATTTTCCTTTTTTCTTTCTTTTCTTTCTTCCTCTTTCTCTTTGCTTCCTTCCTTCTTTCCCTCCCTCATTCCTTCCTTACCTCCCTCCTTTCCCTTCCTCCCTCTCTCTCTCTCTTTCTTTTTTCTTTCTCCTTCCTTCCTTCCTTCCTCCCTCTCTCTCTCTCTTTCTTTTTTTCTTTCTCCTTCCTTCCTTCCTTCCTCCCTCTCTCTCTCCTTCCTGCCTTCCTTCCTTCCGTCCTTTCTTCCTTCCCTCCCTTCTTTATCTCTCTCTCTCTGTATAACAGCTTTCTGTTCTCACAAACAGATAATCCAAGGCATGACAATCAAAGCAACATGTGAAGCCCAGAGAGCCTCAGAACTCCCCTCTATGGTTTCCAGCTCTGGGGGTGGTCAGTGGAAGTAACTGGAGCCCAGAGCTTCAAAGGCCAGTGTAGAGGTTGGAAAGGTTGTGGTCAGGAGAGAGTGATATATCTGGTCCCTGCAACAGACACCCCTGCAGTTTGATCCTGGATCCTGGGTAATTTCTCCAGGTCCTGGGAAGCCTAACAAAGCCCCTACTCAGATGTTGGACTGCAAGTCCTTTGTGTTTGTTTGTTTTTAAAATCCACTTTAATTATATCTGAAAACCACACACAGAGTGACTGCTGTGCAGAAGAGAGAATGGTTCATGCCTTCTTTGCTGCCACCAACAAGCCAGTTGCCTACTCTGACCCTTGGCTGGAGCTCACTGGCTGCCTTCCTGCTGCCTCTAAGCCTCTGCACTTGCTGTTCCCTATACCTACATGCTTTTCCCTGTGATCCTTCCTCATATGATTTCCTCAGATTATCTTTGCTCAAACAACAGGCAAGGGCTGGGCCACACCTGTAATCTCAGCACTTTGGGTGGCCAAGGCAGGTGGATCACCTGGGGTCAGGAGTTGGAGACCAGCCTGGCCGCCATGGCGAAACCCCACCTCTACAAAAAATTAGCCAGATGTGGTGGCGGGTGCCTGTAATCCCAGGCTCTTGGATGACTGAGGCAGGAGAATCACTTAAACCCAGGAGGCGAAGGTTGCAGTGAGTGGAGATCGTGCTGTTGCACTCCAGCCTGGGCAACAGAGCGAGGCTCTGTTTCATAAAAACAAACAAGCAAGCAAACAAACAGAAAAAACCAACAAAACAAAAAACAAGAGGCAAGAAGTTCAGTGTGC